AGAGGCACAGAACTCTGGCAATGCACTTTTGTACATTTCCCAGAAGAACACCTAGAGTTTCTTATCAGAATTTTAGGGTCTCTGTGTGACTCAAAGTCACACACTCCTGGTATACACATTCTTTAATGACACTTGCGGTTAATGCTATACACGTCTAAAGTATAAAGTGAGAAAGGAAGGGATAGGAATCTGGCCCTGAGTTCCAGTGCTTAACTTACCCCATTTATATAGTGCCCTCTGGGACTCACTATTCATCTAGATATCTTGAGGTCTTAGGATGGCCATCATCTAAGCTGGACTGAATGTCCAAGTGTATCTTTTGCATGGTCTTATTGGAGAGTTCATCTCAGATACAGAAGAGAATCCATGGTAAGAATTAATACAAATGTTTCTATTAATTTAAAAATGATATAGTGTTTGTTAATAAGACAGTCCTGTCCTCATCCCCTCTTCCTTCTCTTTTTAAGGCTGTTCTGCATGGAAAGAGAAAAACCAAAATATAAAAACTATAAGCAATAATCTTGTGCCTTCATGATTCTTAAAACAGGAAACACTATGATGAGCTTACATGGTCTATTTTGAGAAGACAGACAGACAGTGAAAGAGAGAGAGAGAGAGAGAGAGAGAGAGAGAGAGAGAGAGAGAAAGAGAGAGAGAGAGAGAGAGAGAGAGAGCCACAACACCTAGACTACACATGAACTTGTGAACCTGCAAGCCGTTTGAGATGGGTACATTTATACACTCGAGAAGATGTTTGTTATTGCACTTGTAGCTACCATTAGAAATACATGAAAAGAGAGTAAATGTTTGGAAAGATTAATACTGTATTTTCTTTCTGGTGGTCAGAAATTGAAAACTGCTAATGCCTGAAATAGGAGAGCAGTAAACCATGGGCAAAAGTCGATGGAAGAGCTGAGTGCAGCCACCGCTCAGCTCCCACAGCACTGGAGTGGGCTGTTCTTGGTCCCGTCCAGAGCCGTTCTGTGAATAATTATATTAAGGAATTAGGCAGAGTCATCATGGAGCTACAAAATACCACCCTTGAGGCCTCACTGGAGACTGATGGGAGCTCCCGAGAGATGATAATGGCCGTCAGAGGCTCCATATATTTAAAATGCACAAAGGACGAGTCCAGAAATTATCTGCCTGCCAACTTAACTTCTCTACCTGGAACAAATTATCCCAAAATCAATTTGCAAACACCTTGGAGATAACAAGGTCCTGAGTAATAACCTCCATGGCTTTGTAAAGAAAGCACCTAGCTTGACTAATCTGCTTAATTCCCTTCTCCGACCAAATGGCGAGCTGTAATAGAGGCAATCTGAAGTTGTCCCTCAAGATGTGTGCTTCGAGTCACACTGAGAGGATATTGTCCACCCCTGGTTTATAGCAAATTATTCTTTTGGAGAATCCTTAATGCTGGGCCATTAATTAAAAGAAAAACACAGAATAAATCTTTATCCCAAAGTATCCACCTGAGTACCAAACTAACATCACCCACGCTTTGCTCATCTGAGCAGTCCAGAGACTTCCTCCAATAAGAAGCTCTTTAATAAATCTGCATTTGGCTTCTAACCTCCATCACCTCTATATTCGACTTTAGGATTCAAGGAATTGTTCATTCTCCTGGACAGAGAACCCATTCTTGCCTTTTGGTCATTAAACAATACCAGACTCAGACAAGGAGGCCTGAGATCATTTACATAGCGATGTCTGTGGCAGAACCATTTACCATGACTAAGCCTAGAACAGCCCATATACTCAACCGCAGGAACACACTTAGGATCATAGTTTTATAGTCTAGTCAGAACCTAGAAAAGACAGTAACTCCCTCTTCCTTGTAGCATGTAACTGGATCTTCTAGGGTGCTTAAAGTGAGGGAAACAAAACCATCTACCACTAGCTTGTGTGTCGTTGAGACTACAGGAAAATGTGAGACATGAATAAGAACTGCATTACAATGTGCAGAACTGGCTGGTAAGAGAGACATGCTTTCTTTTCCTTACTTTTTGTGGTGGTTGTTGTTCCCACGTCTGTGTTTTTCACAAATAAAAATAATGAACACACCATACTTCTTTAAAAACAAAACAAACAAAATGTGAGTGAGGGATGCTGGAGAGATTTCAGTGGTTAAGATGGCTTGGCAGTTAATAGCACTGATTGCTCTTCCAAAGGACCAAGGTTCAATTCCCAGCACCCACATAGCAGTTCACAACAGTCTGTAACTCCAGTTCCCAGGGATCTGATATCCTCATGCTGACATACATACAGGCAAAACCTCAATGTACATTACATAAATAAATAAACATTTTTAGAAAAGAGTACTTCCCACTGTTGTGGAAGAGTGACATTCAGTTCCCAGCACCCACATCAGGCAGCTCATAACTACCTGTAACTCCAAGCCTAAGAGGGTGAATGTTCTCTTCTGGATTCTGCAGGTACCTGCACTCACATGTAAATACCCACAAACTTATGCACAACCAAAAATAAATCAATTCTTTGGATTATGGGTTGCATCTCAGAATCCACATCCCAGACAAAATGTGACTCTCCCTCCCCAGTAGATATCATAACTCCTCAGGTAGTGGTGGTACTTCAGAGCCCCTCTGTATTTGTGCTGGGAAGATGGCTGATCCTGTGTAAGTCCTGTGAAAATAATATGCACGTATGATTATTAATAAAATACTTACATTTTTAAAGATTCATTTTTATTTTATGCACATGAATATTTAACCCGTGTGTGTGTGTGTGTGTGTGTGTGTGTGTGTGGTGTGTGTGTGTACCGTTCGTGCGTTTGTGTACCTGGTGTTCATGAATGTTAGAAGATCCTCTGCTGTAACTGGAGTTAGACATGGTTATGAGCTAAAATTAAGCTAACAAGCCATTGTCCTATAGTATATAGTCTACACATTGATCCTGTCATGGCACTGACATATTCTTTTTATGTATTTAGGTCAAGGTGAGTTTATGCAACCATTTTTAAGCAGGTGTGTGCTGGGACTTGAATGCAGGTCTTCTTCAAGAGCAAACAAATGATCTTATCCACTGAGGTATCTCTCCAGCTTCAAATAAAATATTTTTCAGAAAGTAAAATAAAGCCTGAAAGACATCTCAGAACAAACAGATGGCCACGTGGTAAGACATGGCGATGCATACCTATAATTCCTGTAATTGGAAGGCCAAGGCAAGGGAACCTGGCATTTGAGACCATTCTGGATACAGAGTGAGTCTGAGGTCAGCCTGACCTACATATGGAGACCCTGCAGGGGGTTGTTAATTGCTCTGTGGATTTGGTTATGTCTATTTGGTTAAATATATATTGCCTAAGGAAGGTGTCACATAGATAAGTTAGCAGAGAACTTGTTATGACCTTTCCTTTGGCCCTTGATTCCTGCTGTGCTCCTGTTAGCCAAAGACACTCTGCTGGCAGAAACCTGTCAGGGTGAGGGCGAAGCTGGATTCTTGTTGCATCACCATCTCCTATCCGTGTTCACCCCACCATCTGCAGAGGGTTTCTGCTAACAGTGTGTGTGATCTGAGGTGGAACTGGCCTGAAAGCCTCCTCCTGGAGGACTAGGTCTCACAATATCCAAAGGTTCTGTGCAGGCTGCCACGGGAGAAAAGCAGTCAGTTTTACCCAGCTACCTACTAACCATGGCAATGACCAGTCTGGCAAGATATCATCAGTGGTACAATAGCGTCAATGATATCTTGGGATTAGTGTTCAACTGTCTAATTGGATTTAAGGATCCTTAATGGGAGGGAATTTATGGTTGGTTGCTGTAAACCTATTCAACACCCCATAATGGTTGATATCATGGGCTCTAGAGGAGGATCTACTGTAGGCACTTTTTAGATCAGTGTAGTGCTTAACTGTATTCCAAATACGTATCTTTCTTCCCATGGATAAGTTTTGCTCTTAGACCCTATCAAAGACAATTCCTGTTGCAGTATATGGAGCTAATTGGGGAAACCCACTGTCTTAGTCAGAATTATGATTGCTGTGACAAACATCATGACCAAAGCAACTTGGAGAAGAAAGGGTTTATTTGGCTTATGATTCCACATCACTGCTTACCACTGGAGGAAGTCAGGACAGGAACTCAGACTGGGCAGGAACCTGGAAGCAGGAGCTGATTCAGAGGCCTTGGAGGAGTACTGCTTACTAGCTGGCTCTTGTGGCTTGCTCAGTCTGCTTCCTTATAGAACCCAGGATCACAAGCCCAGGATTGGCAATGCCCATAATTGACTACCTCCCCACATCAAACAGCTTGTGTCAAGTTGACATACAACTAACCAGCACACCCAGAATTGGTGAAGTGCAGACAACAGACCGTGGGGTGTCCAGCCCCAAATGTTACATCTGTCTGTAACATGATCCCTGCAGTGAAAGCTCAGAGTAGATCGTGGAAAAGGAGAAAGATGGTGAAGGGCCACAGGATGCGGGCATCCGAAATGAGATAGTGCCTTCTATATATGAGAGTTGCACCCATGAAACTCCAATTACATGGTTCCCTCAACAGTACCCACATAATGTCCAACACCAGATGGTTTGCCAGCATGGATGGGAAAATCTCACAAGGCTCCACCCCTAGATGAAGAACTATAGGCAGCTAAAGGCTGCTGAGAGGGAGAATCAGCCACTGACAGGTTATGCAGTCCCAACCAGTCATTCCTAAACATACATTCATACAAGTTACTCTAAATGATAACACACGAGAGAGGGAGAGAGAGAAGGAGGGAGGGAGGGGGGCAGAGAATGAGAAGAGAGAATATATGCCCTTGTGGAGGTCAGGGACAACTTTTGGGGGTCATTTTTCCTTCTACCATGTGGGTCCTTTGAATCCATCTCAAGGTATGGTTGGCACAAGCCCCTTTACCTGCCGTTTCGACAGTCCTCTCTATGGTTTTGTTGAGAGTTTGGCCACTTTTCTTTACATTCTTGGATTCTACTTCGTAAACTTAGACTGAAATTCCTTGGCTTGCTTGCTTTTTTACAGAGCCTCCCACGCCTATCGCTCCCCCAGAACTGCTGGCGGTGGGGGCCACCTACCTGTGGATTAAGCCAAATGCCAACTCCATTATTGGGGACGGTCCCATCATTCTGAAGGAAGTGGAATACCGCACTACCACGGGCACCTGGGCCGAGACCCACATCGTGGATTCTCCCAACTACAAGCTCTGGCATCTGGACCCTGATGTGGAGTATGAGATCCGGGTGCTGCTCACACGGCCAGGCGAGGGAGGCACAGGACCACCAGGACCTCCTCTTACTACCAGGACCAAGTGTGCAGGTAAGGACGTCCCTCCAGATGTTGTGCTGTTCTGATTGGCCCTCCTCTTGCCTCTTGGACACAGATTCCTCTGGTGTAGATGTGCTGCCTTTGATGGAAAGACCATTAAAGGCTTGTTCAGACTTGAGAGAAACTCTCAGCTCTGGATGTGCTTCTAGAACCTTCTATCTTTGGTCGTGTCACGGATATGCTCATGATGTTGACAGTATTTCTGATGGGGCATTGGCTCTATCATTGTGAGGAATCCTAGTGCGGTTTGCATGTCTCTAACGGGTTTAGGTTCTGCCCTCAAAGTCCCCATGTCAACTACATTCCTGCAGGCTTCTGGTTCCAGTTGTATATCTAGTAGGTGTAGTTTGCTTGGTCTGTGACCCCTGGATCTGGTCATTGTCCTGGTGCTTCCTGGTTCTAGCTTTGTCTCTGAGGAGATCCTCTTGCCAGTTACATCACTATAGCTTCCTGGTTCTGTGAGTGTCTCAGAATTGACTCTGAAACTGCCTTGGTTCCTCAGAATTTCCCAACTCCATATCCTCTGGGAGCTCCTGGCTTCTGACTAAAGAGTGTGACTTGGGACAGTCCTCTTGGGGACCTCTGGGTTCTAAGTTAACTGTGGGTTTCTGGCTCCAGCTGTTTCCCTGGTGGTCCCTGCCTAAGTGCCGCTGGAGTGGATGTGATTGGAAAGGTTCTCTGCATACAAGATTATCCCCAAGGTCTCTTGGCTTTGTCTGTTGGCTGAGCTTGGATCTCTGAATGGAACCCATGAAATTAAAAGAGACTGGTGTTCATTTTTCTAAAAATCACCATCTGTCCTTATCACCCTCAAGTACCACTCCATGGAAGTACTTTTGTTCCATGCATATGCGAAGGGAGAGTGGCTCAGTATTTTCTAGCTTTATCCGGGCTCCCCACATGGCCAGGGGTACACTCAGGATTTGCACTCAGGTTTTCTGACTCCAGAGCCTTTGGCGACACCATGATGAATAGAAAGGTGAGCGTTCCTGGTATAACATACTGAGCTCAGAGCTACTGTACTGTTGTGGTCCCGGGCCTAGTGACGCGTCTAGCATGGGCTTCTGAGGGAAAATGAAGCAACATTGTCTCTGAGTGAAGAATTCATAGGTACACCAACACGGGACACAGCGGAGGATGTTGTATCAGGCCTGTTAGAATTTGACAGTCATGCCACTAAAATTGTTTCTCCTCACTGTATTATGCTATAAAGAACACAGAGATTAGGAGGAAAGGCAAGGGCTATCCCTACTTCCTTAGTAACCCATGACAATGAGAGCACCATCTGATGTGCATGGGAGCTAATTTTAGACATCAGGTGGAGCAAAAAGTACAAGATGCTATACTGCAGCTCGCAGACACCTCCCGGAAAGCTCAGTATTTTCTTTACAAGTAGAGGTAGGGGTTTGCAGCCTGTGAGTTACTGGGAGGCAGGAAGAAGCCATCTGAATTAGACGGAAAGGAAACACCAGGTGGAAATGGGCGTGTCTGACCACAGTGGTGAACTGAGGGGAACTGTGTGTGTGTGTTTCTGTGTGACTTCAAGTTTTTACTCTACTTATGTCTTCTATGAACACAGTCACATATAAGTACATTTGCTCTGTGCTTGCATTGCTCCCTCCTAGATCAATGGTTTTGAACAAGCTTGAATTTTCAGTTGTTCATGAGCCAGTTTGAGTGTTCAAGCAGAGCCGACAGCAGCCCCTCTTTTGCGTCTCAGGGGTGCTCCTGATGTGTAGAAGTCAAGGAGTACTAATATTGCTATGGCCCAGACTTACTGCTTTGAAAAATTATTGAACCACTGTGATGAACAGAGAGTCCATTTTCCCAGTGATTTTTCTAAACAGATCTTTGGTAAAATTCCTCATTGAAACCTGATTATGAAGCTAACTGCTTTCAAAGGACAGAAGGATATGTTATTAAGCCAGGCAATTCCTTACCTCAGCTCTGCCATGCAATAGTCATTCATAAAAATAATTGATTTGAACCTGTTGATAAGGCTTCTCTTTCTCCGAAAGGTAAATGTAAGGGCTTTGATCTTTGGAAATGGCATTCAAAGCACTTTCAAAGCCCCTGTGGACTTATTTGCTCGTGATCATATAATGCACTTAGAAATTCAATCGCGAGATGATCATCTCAATAAAAATTTATAACCTATCGCAAACAGTTGCCACGGCTGCCTAATGGATTTTACATGTGACAGACACAATGGTCTGACTATTGTTGTAAAAATTTGGAGTTGAAATGTTGTTTGTGGTATTGTATTTCCAGAAATGGTGGTGTTTAAGTAAGTTAGACTTAAATCTCAAATAGCCTACATTCTCAAACTATGTCATAAAGAAAGTCATCTTCTTTTCCATTGCCACTGATGGTAGACTGTTCTTTGCTTTATAATTAATTTTTAAGAGAATTTCGGGCTGATATCCATTTGTAGATGCTCTTTATTACCTTCGCTATTCCGAGTTTTCTCCCCTTCCCCTACTCTATTATTAATCACTCTGGAAATGTACTCATTATTTTGCAAAACAGAATGTGGAAAGTATAATTTTTGCCCAGAGGAATTTGCAGGCTGGGTAAAGATTCAAGAAAAATAGAAAAGGGTGGTAAAGTATAAACATGCAGTTTGGGTGTTGAAATAGCATGCTTTGTGAAGGAAGACAGGACAGCAAGCGGTGTCCTTTGGAGCAGCGTTTCTCAGTGTGGGATTCCTGGACCAGGGACTCCAGTATGGCTAGAGACTGGGCACTTTGGTTTACTATGACTCTTATGTTGAAACCTGGGTCTCCATGTGATGGTGTAGGAGATGGAGCCTTTGGAACAACTATGTCATGAGTAGATTTTCACCATTATAAGAGAGTATCCAGAGTTCTCTCTTGCTTACTCACCAAGTGAGGGCATAGTGAGAAGATGCGTCTATGGCCAGCAATCCAGTCTTTATTAGGACTGTGAAAAGCCAATTTCCATTATTTATAAATAACCCAATCTATGGTATTATGTCACAGAAACCCAAAAGAATTAAGTGAGAAGATGTGTCTATGGTCAGCAATCCAGTCTTTATTAGGACTGTGAAAAGCCAATTTCCATTATTTATAAATAACCCAATCTATGGTATTATGTCACAGAAACCCAAAAGAATTAAGTGAGAAGATGTGTCTATGGTCAGCAATCCAGTCTTTATTAGGACTGTGAAAAGCCAATTTCCATTATTTATAAATAACCCAATCTATGGTATTATGTCACAGAAACCCAAAAGAATTAAGTTTCATGTAAGCTCAGACCTAGCCTCTCCTCACCCAATGAATCAGGAAGTACAAGAGTAAGAGTGTGCAATCAGAAGTCCTGACTCATATGGCTGCAAATGAAAACATTGCATCTCTGGCACATTGGTGTGCCCACTGCAAGTAGACCCATGGAGTGTGTGACTTGAACTCTGAGAGGCAGACTGCCACTCACATGACTGGATCAAGGCTACACAACATGCAAGTCCTGAGAACAAAGTCTCCTTGCCACTGCTTTGAAGGAGTTCGGGGTGGGGTGGGTTCCTCTGCTCACGAGCGTCCTCTCAAGTATGGGGTTGTGTAGTAACTATGGAGACCAGCTAAAAATGAATGGCTGCATTTGTCCTTTCAAACACTTACTCATTCTCTTCTATGAGCCAATCTCTGTTCTAGGCAGTGGGGGAAGAGGCTGGCTTTGAAAGGACAGGACAGACAGGGGCAGAAGCTTGACAGTAGTTATGTTATAAGCCCACCTAAGCTCCAAAAAGATATCAGGACGACCAAGTCAGTGAAGGATGGTGGGGGGGGTATATTCTTGTTCTACTGGGTATGACCAGATAGATCCTTGATGTAGCAGAAACCAAGAAGCTGAGGCTGACCCTTTAAGGGGGAGACATTAAGAGTTTGGCTATAGTATGTGCAGGACCAATAGGCAGGAGTTCAGAGCACATGCTTTGCTAGTTATACCATAGACAGATTCACAGCAATCTACATATGTGGGGAAGGAAGAAGAGGGTCTAAGGGGACATCTAGGGTTTGTGGTATAGGTAACTGAGGTATGAGAGGGAGAATCTTTTTCTGAGATGGTAAGTGCTGAAGATGTTAAGGGAGAGAATATGATTTGTTTAGGGGAAGATGACTAGCAGGCAATGGGAATGTATTAGTCTAGAGCTTAAGGAATTTGAGCTTTTTCCATGAGAACATCCCTAACTTCACCTGGATGAAGGGTTGGGAACCTCCTTAGCACTGATAAAATCAGTTTAATTCTCTCTGTCCTCCTGCTCTCCTCTCAGAATGCTTCGTTCATTTTTAATTCGTCATTTTGTTTCTTTCCCTCATTTTAATCATTCATCATCCTTCCTAAGATAAAGGCCTAGGGGCGAAGACAATGATGTATATCAAAGGGTTTTGAAAATCTCAAAATGCTCTTCAGACTCCTGTAATGAAACGAATCACAAGCTGTTGGTGCTTCTGTTACGGCCATTATTATTGTGAGCCATTAACACACAGAGAAGAAGGCTAGCCTGGCCGGTTGTCAGGACGAGCACAGCTCTAGCCATGTTCTCTAGGTCTTCACCATCTCGTGAGGATTCCCACTTCAGAGCATGATGCTCATGGTGTCATCTGCATTCTGGGCCGCTTTCTTATGGAGAATATAGAGTGTTTTCTTCTAGCACAGTGGGTCTCAACCTGTGAGTTGCAACTCCTTCGGGGGCTGCATATCAGATATTTACATTATGACTCATAACAGTAGCAGAATTAGGCAGTAACAAAATAATGTTATGGTTGGGGGTTACTAAACACATGGAACTGTATTAAACGGTTGCAGCCCTGGGAAGGCTGAGAAACACTGCTCTAGAAAATCCCAGACAGCAGACATCCTTGTAGCTGTACAGTGGGCAGCTCACTTTGAACCTTGCCTCTAAAGGGCGGGCCACACTGTCCACACAGACCGCTTCCCTGTTGAAGCACATGAACTCTTACTGTTTTCTT